GATGATTTTAGAAGCAATTTTAATTGGAAACACAGCCGTCAATATTTGGTTTTTAATTCGGTTTTTATTGGGGTTTATATTGTTGTATTTTTGTATTTTTTGTATTTGTGTATAGTATCTGTTTTTTAAATATGCTGTGAACCGCCCTGAGTCCTATGGGAGAAGGGCGGTATATAAATTAAATTTGAATTGAATTGAAAAGGTGTCCAGGTTAAACAAAGACAAGAGCACAATTCACAACTGTCCCAAGATACCATGTTTATTCCCGGCAAATGCCCCATCTCACACCGTCTCCTTAAATCTTAATCCCCAGGTGTGCCTTGTGGAGTCGGGCGGGCCGCTCTCCTCCAGTGCAATTGAGCCTGCCTACATAGCTCTCTCCTCCTCTCTGTTCTCTTTGCTCTAGGATCAGGTGGGGGGCCTTGCTCCTTGCCTGCACTCTGCCTCCCCTGTTCCAAACCTGAATGGCCCTGGCCTGTCTCAGACTGCTCTTCCCTACAGTCCTCTGAAGCCACAGACACCTCCTCCTGGGCCTCAACAGGGTCCTGCTCCAGCTCCATGTCCTCCTCGGATTCAGGCTCGGACGGAGGCATGACAAGCACAGAGGTTTACTCAGTGATTGCTTCACTTAACAATCAAATTGACATTCCCAATTGTGGTTTCTAAACTGATATCCTTTGCTTGATAGTATCTAAAAATTCCACCTAGTGCCAGAAAAAAGTTAACAAGTATTTTAAGAAATTAAATACATGTACATACATACATACATACATACATACATACATATTTCAAAGTGATTCATAGATATATATGGTTATATTTCATAGAGGTCAGTGCTTCATAGAGATCAGTGGGAATTATATATACCACGTTTTCCCGAAAATAAGACCCAACCAGAAAATAAGCCCTAGTATGATTTTTCAGGATGCTCGTAATATAAGCCCTACCTCAAAAGTAAGCCCCAGCATTGTGGTTTCCCTGGTGGGAGGGTGGCCAGCTCGACATCGCTTGCATTGGTCGGGTATCTGGGGGAGCCCATGAGGAGCTGGAGGGATCCATGGGTCTCCAGTGGGGGGGGGCAGGACCAGGGCAGGCGCCAGGACCTGATCCACTGGAGGAGCCTTGCTGACCCTCTCAGGCTGTGTGGGACAGCTCTGGGGCTGGGCTCAGGTGGGAGGGGAAGTCCCAGCTGCCTCTTGGGGATGGGGGCTCCCCGCCCTTCCTGTTCACTGGGGCTGTCATGGGTGGGACAGTGGTCAGCAGGCTTGCTGGAGGATGAGGTTGAATGGTGGGGGCCGAGCATGCAGGGGCCATGGTGTGGCTCGGCCTGCTAAACCTCATTTCACTAAATCGGACAGTACTTCAGCAGACAGCATACACCAGGCTGAAGAGGAGCCCTCCTATAAACTAATCACCAAACTGGGCAGAGCCTGCCAATAAAACAAAAAACAACGGTCGGTGCTCCTTTCTCCTTTCAGAGTGGGGCATGTTCTGTTGCTGAGAAAGTAAACAAGCAAAACCTTTGCAGTCCAGTGAACTCACAGTGTTGAGATGCCACACATGGCAATTGAAATTCACCCAGCTGCTGTCTCAAAGCCATGTTTATAGACCCTCTGCAAGAAAACAGTCCCGGAGAAAAACAAGCAATGAGAAAGAAAGAAAGCCTGCCCCTCGCAGGTGGAAATAAATGAGAAAGTGGTAGTTGGGGACTTCCGGTGGGACGGCGCGCCGATGGCGGCTCTTTTCGGAGCCGTCCGCTTGGGAAGGCGTCAGAGCCAGCATGAACAGCGGTCAGCAGCTGTTCAGCGGCTTGGAACCTTGTGCCCCGGGAGAAGGGGTCGAGGTGAGTACTCCTGGATAGGAGTAGAGTCCCAAAAGCTCTCCCTTCATCTCGGGAGAGC